TATATCAATTCATGTGAATATGACTGAACAATTTCATTTTTTCTGAAAAGGTGGTGTCTATTTACTTGTGACCACGTTGTGTATATCGACTGCTTACTCTTTCTTACAAAGATAGGTGATTATCAATATAGTTTTATTTGTCAGAAAATATTCTAGCATGACTCGAATGGTACCTATATTTCTGGTATTCATAACTATTACTAGGTTTAACCTGTCATTTTCTGTTTTCGTTGCAGGGTGATTTTACATCGATGAAGAAATACTAAGTGAACATTAAGGAAATTCGAACATGCGGAACACACAAATGCAGATTGTCAAAATCCAATCTTGATTTTAAGCGCATCGGCACCGATCCGACATTTTACTCAAGTCGCAGGCTTAGAAATAATCTAATTTATTATTCTTACGTGGACTGGACTTTGCATTATTTTGACCAAATGTTTTAAAGTAATCCGCTCAACAAAAAAACACGTTACAACAATACATTAAAAGTTTAATTGACAGGTCGAAAGCCTTACAATCAAATAATCTAAAATTTGTGATAAAAATCACGTTAACTGCGGATTTTTCATACGCACTCAGTCATCTAACTCACCGCTTAAGAAAAACAAAGTCAATAAATCAGATTATAAAGTAACTTCAAAATTTCAGTCATGTCAATCTTCACATTCCATATTAATCTGAGAAAAACTTTTAAAGTTTACATTTCTAAAAATAAAAAAAAAATGTGCAGAATTCACAAGTTTATACACAATTAGTCCAGCCATAACACATCTAAACTCTCATACATGTTGTTTGTTGCAAAGCTACTCAGGACTATATGCGCTGCCGTCTGGATAGACCAGAGGAAAACAACTATTCAACACTAATCTCATACATCAAGTCCAACCTTATAACATCAAGCTCTAATACATATAGTTCAGTATTCACATATAAAAATCCTCACATACATAGTTCATGAATTTTCTATCTTTAATTGCAGGTCATGCGAACATAAGTTGAAATAAATCCTCAACACCCAAACCAAATACAATTATTATACACTCTTCTAAGTTTTGAAAATAAATAGGGAACTATATAAAAATAAAACGCAGCCTTACAAATGATGTAATCCTAAAACTACTTTCCTACCACTACTTTGTTTGTTGTGTTCCAGTCATCCAATGAGCTTTGGATTGGGCAAAACGTGTTATCAGCAATTGATAATGGTAAACATTGTGTGGTTAGAACACTATTATTATACACTCTTATAATACTTGGTTTAGATAAAGAACTCAGTGTTAAAAATACGAGGCCTACTACTAATGCCAGTATAAACACTGTTATTTTACCTGCCTAACAATTCATATTTATATGCCTATTAAAAGTCTATACATTATTTAGAAGAACATTAACAACAGGTTATCATGTAATGTTTTAGCAATCATATTTCTCTCTTTCTGATATAAAAAAAAAATATTCTACTACATTCCTCACACACTGATGTACTACCAACTAGTAACTAACGTTTCAGAATCTGTCTATAAACGCTTTCAGTATCAGGTTCATAATTATCTCCATTCATATTTCTAGACCACAATTTAATAATGGTGCAATGTTTATAACAACAGCTTTAAAAGGATTTTCATATTTCTACTAAATTCTTTATTTTTAGAGCTTTCCTTGTTTGTTGTGATAAAATCAACATTGCCATCCAAGTTTTATTTATGAAAACTGTAAAACCAAACACTTTTATACTTTCCATACTTCAACCTTTCTTTATTTAAAGAACCATTTAGTATTTATTAGAATTTATATAACAGTGAAGAAAATTCCCGATGGTCTATTGTATAAAAAATAAGTTTATATATATATATATATATATGAAATCATCTTTGATAGATCAAAACTGACATGTATTTCAGCCTTACCACATCAAAACTGTCATACACATGTAGTTGAGCCTTAACACATCGACAGTCACACTCATGTAGTTCAGCCTTAACACATCGACAGTCACACTCATGTAGTTCAGCCTTAACACATCGACAGTCACACTCATGTAGTTCAGCCTTAACACATCGACAGTCACACTCATGTAGTTCAGCCTTAACACATCGACAGTCATACTCATGTAGTTCAGCCTTAACACATCGACAGTCATACACATGTAGTTCAGCCTTAGCACAGTTATACTCATGTAGTTCAGCCTTAGCACAGTCATACTCATGTAGTTCAGCCTTAGCACAGTCATACTCATGTAGTTCACCTTAGCACAGTCATACTCATGTAGTTCAGCCTTAACAAATCGACAGTCATACTCATGTAGTTTAGCCTTAACACATCGACAGTCATACTCATGTAGTTTAGCCTTAACACATCGACAGTCATACACATGTAGTTCAGTCTTAACACATCAAAACTGATGCACATATAATTCAGCCTCACATCAAAACTGTCAATTAATTCAGCTTTAAGACATTCAAACTTTTGTATATATAGCCCAAAATTAATACATTTAAACCTTCATAACACAAAAACCCTGTATACATATAGTCTACTTTCAACACATCAAACCTTCAAAACAGATATACATGTATTCAAAATAAGAAACAACACACAGTTACAACAAGAAATACTTAAGTTCAAAATATTACAAAACTAATTGATTTACAAAATTTTCCAGTCAATTTTTACTTCTGAAGGTAACAAACATGTTCTGATGTGCAATTTCTTTTAAATGTTAATAGCCTTACAAAACTTTAGCATGTGTACCATTTAATTTAACTGTGATACTATATGTATCTTTAAAACATTTTTAGCAAGTGTGATGTTTATTTTCATATCAATAGTATACACAAATCAAAAATAATAAATTACACTAGTTGATTTGTGAGGTAGAACTGCAATATAGTAACAGCAATAAATATCCAGCAAGAACAACCTACTGAACCTAGTTGACTAATGCATACTTGTTCTTATATATATTCTCAGTCCCAACTGCATTTCATTCTATGTAATCATCATTCATAAAATAGTTATCCATGAATCATTAGTTCTTTGTTCAGATAACAGATCTCATTGTTTATTGATAAATTATTCAATTACAGACCTGCATGGAATTTTGTTTGTTGTATACTAGTATTATTTTCTTGCATTCTTTTGTGCTAGTTCTTTGTGACAATATTAACTGTCATTTGATGTGTGGAACAGAAACTACAAAGATCAAATATATAAGGTAGTTTATTAACAACTGTAATACATTTAATACTTTGCTCCAAATAGTCATTCATTCCAGTTTTTTAATCTGGATTTAATTAACTCAATAAAATTAAAGAAACAAAAAATTCCAAAAAAAAAAGTTCAGAATAATCTAGTAATCACTGTAATGGCTAGAGCTTCAAGCACAATAAGTGCATATATTTCAATAAGACATTAATGTATCTTAATTTACACTAAAACTGATGTCCTTACTGCACAATATCACTGACATTATTTGCTTTTATTCTATACATTCCAACGAAAATTAGGCTTACATGAAATACATTTAATGATGAATAAAGAATAATAATGAATTAAAATTTTAAAAATTAACTTAGAATCTCCTGAACATAACCTTAAACAATATGTGCAGGTAATTATATGATTCAATAATTCAACATTTATTCTATGCTTTGGTATCTGGAATGAAAGTCAATGTACAAAACCTGAAATGACATTATCATAGTGCAATAACCCCCACACTACATATACTTTTGGGTCCCAAAATAAATCATTCCTGGCACTAAAGAAGTTCAGCATTGCACAAGGTTGGCCAACTATCTATGCCGTGTAAGTCAAGCTACAAAGCCTCGTTTTCCAGGAGGAATAAGATGTTTAGGCAGTTCTGTTGGAAGGTCATGACCTTGAAGTTTTACACTTATCAAATGCATGGCTAATGCAAACTCATCTGAATCTAACATTCCATCCTTATCTAGGTCAGACAGTTTCCAGATCTTCCCTAGCACAGTGTTGGGAAGTTTAGATTTGACCATTTCTGCCTTGGCACTTGCTCCAGATATCTTTCCATCCACAGGATTCAAACTATCAAACACTTCATCATACTTAAATCTTTCCTTTGAAACAATCCAGTCTGGTTCTAAAGAGCCAGCATCTATGCCCTCACCACGTCCATAACCAAATGGACTTTGCTCTGCCACACCTTCAAAAGCTCCTCCAGTGACATTATTATCTTTGGTGTTTTGAATCTGCTCATGAGGAATCATGCTCATTAACCTTGCAATGTCTTCAGCTAACATTCTATCCACTGTTTCTAGCAGTTTTGGCTTAATTTGATGAAACTTAGTGAAATCATGATGGAGTAATTTCTCCTGCATGTCCTTTAGATCAGGAAAATCCCCTGGAGGAATCTGATGATCTCGTTGGATTTCTATATAAATATTACTCAAGTTTTTTATTAGTTCTTTCTTTTTACTCTCCTTGCCAAAGACAGAAGGCATTTCTCTGCGGATGATGCCGATTATGTTGGCATGTACCTGTGTCAAAAAATATTTTTAAGTTTTCCTGGAGCAAAAAAAACAAAACTGATATATATATATATATATATATTTTAAAATAAAGAAACAGTGGTGTGAACATCTAATTATAATTATATAATAAATCAATAAGTAAAATAATTACAGCTACTTTTCAAAAAGTTAAAATGGTAATTACAAAGAAATTAGTTTAATATTAAACTACAGGTCCAAGAAAATATAAAATCATATTTTCATTTGTTCACAAAATAATATTATAACTTTTACAGGGAGCATATATGTGAACATCAGATGAAAAAGTTCTTGCATATACAACTCGAGACATCTCTCTTTAGTGTAGTTTATTTGACATTATACTAGGAATTCTATGGTCTTATGTCTCAAATCAAGGTCTACTAAATGTTACTGATTAAAGAAAACAGGAAATAAATTCTGAAGCTAGCCATCTCACTTTTGTGATGTACTTAGTGAAACTCATTAAGTCCCATTTTACCTCATTCAGCTCTGCCAAGTCTCTACATGACAAGCAGATCACACAAGTTCAAATATACCAACATTACAGAAGTACATCTTAACTAACAAGAGATAAAGTATTCATAAAACATAAAAAATCTGTACACAGCATGAATACAAACAATATAACTATATAAATACAACTGACAAATCCTTACAAAGTTCCTGTAAACTGATCTTTAATCCTTCCTCCTGAAAGTGATTCCTACACCCCTTTCCAAAACCAATCTCTAATAACCTCTCCAATTGATACCTAATTCCTCCCCAAAACAATCCCCTTCTCTCAAACCAAAAATAATTATAGCTACAAATATAACCTTGAATGTTTATTCTTTTACATAAAATTACTATGAATTTTCTTACATAGATACACAGTAAAATGAATATATCTGTGTATATAAGTCACAGACACCACTGAGTACAAACACTAACTACTACAACAGTACTTCTCCCTCCCACACATGCAAAAGTGGGTCTTAATGCACATATGGTCAAGAAATCTGATCCACACTCACTTGTGAAGTTGTTCTACATGTACAGTGTTTGTTACTAGGCCTGTTTGGAACACTGAATTGCTGATAAGGAACTTTGTATACTCAATTTGTGCATGTGCTTCTATACATAAGCCTGTACTTTATCAAGTATGGAACTGAAGTGGATTACTATTAGTTTTAAACAGTTTTTTTTTATTTCTGAATTATTTGAATTAAGCAAAAGAAATACTTAATGGGAAGACATAGGTGGGAAATACTATCCAGATCAAGGTAGGATTAAGCATGCATCACCATTATACACAAAAAAAAATTATCATTGTGATCAAAATGTTATGAGACAATATTGCCACTTCTGTTAGACACACTATGCATATTTAAGTGAATGAATACACTACTGAATGATTAACAACTCAATAAATAACTTGGTTACCCACATTGTCACAATTTTGCAATAAGTTTTTTATTTAACACGTTTGATGATTACACAGTTTGACGTGAATAAGATTGATGTTGTGCTACTGCTAAAACTGTAAAATGTTATCCAGTCTATATGCTTACAACTTTTCATGCTCAAACACCGTATTTGCCAAAAATGTTGAGAATGATATTGTTCAGTTATTTATTAAATAAAAATTACCATTATAAATGTTAACATTTTCTTAAATTGAAAATATATTTACAAAACATACTTACCTCCTCTCACACTACAGCTATTACTCAACTACTAGGGTTTCCTTCCTTTGCCCATCTAAGCATTGATCTGAATTTTTCTCACTTGCTCCAGTCTTTTATTCCCCACTTAATTTCCCTTGGTGATATCTGTCACGTGACACTTTCCACCTACGTCCATGTGCCCTCAATCCTGGTACTGTATATAAGCACCTCATTCAGATAATATGAACACTCATCCTCACTCCACAACCGTGTGGGCAAGGTAAATTCCACTTGCCCTCGGAATTATGGGGAGGATGTGGAACAAACTGTGCTTAATCAAGGACTCAGGATGGGACTACTTTGCATTCAGAATTATGAGGAGACAATGGACCCTCTTCCATGAACAATGTATTGAACTTATATGGATCAAAAAAGAAGAGCCACACTCAACCTAACTGGATAATGGAGTGTCAACTCTGAACCGGTAATATGAGTAGGCTCCTGCATAGGCTGGTGCCTCTCCTACCAGCATCTGGGATAAAACATACAAGGACTGGACCTGTGTAAGAGAACCCCCAACTTTGCCCTCTCCTCAAAGAGTGATGGAAAGCCACTCGAAACTTCTGTCCACCCTCTGTCCACCACCCCAGTGACTGGAAACCAGGTATAGTAAGGATTCCCCTAGCTCCACTTGTAGGAAATGAGGGAGGTAATGCTTTTTGGGGAGTCCCAAGAAACAATGCTCATGAAACAGTGCAATAGATGAACCAAGTTTCCTAAATTTTTACAAGCAAACTGACCCTATGCTTTTCTCATGATAGTCCATGAATGGCAGTTCAACTTAGTAATACCACCCAGCCTGCCTTAAGGTGGTCTTATGGAACATTCCATTTCTACAGAGCTTGTTGCAACGTAGATAAAGTATATTGTGTTAGTGGTTGCTAGTGCAAAATTGGTTTGATAAAAGCACACCTGCCTGGGCAACACTCACCACAGAGTGGGATCCTGTGAAAAATTGGTAAGGGGCCCTGGAAAATAAAGAAGAGACAATATTTGTAATGAAGATACTCACACCTCCTTATAATCAGGTGAATGTGATTAATATAGCAACTGGGAGTAATCAAATACCCTCAGAGGAAGATACTGCCAGATCCTGCAAATAATGCAAGATAAAAATATTGGAGGAGGTCCACATAGCAGCCCGTGCAACGTCCTCCAACAAGCAACTCAACCAGGCCACTAAGGACATAGAAATGTGATGAATCTGAAAAGATGCGACTCTCAATAGACTCCTCACCTTCAAAGACAGCCCAGAATAAGCAATATGGATCTATTTCCATACCAACCTAGACAGGGTAACTGAGGAGAAGTCCCGGGAAACTGAAGGATCTCAATGAATAAAAAAGTTGTTGTCTTGCACCTGTAAAGGCATTATTGCAAGTAACATAATGCTTCAAGACTCTCACTGGACGTAACAAACGATTGAGATGCGATCGGTCATAGAAGTGTGAAATGGTGGTCAGATGAATTGGTGAAAATGATTTATCCCCTTCCTTGGGTGCCAGTGTCTTAGGGAATAAGAACCTGTCTGAGGACTTAGTTAGAATGATAAAGCATCCTGTGCATAATCAGCACAAAGAACTCTGACCGGTGACATCTGTAGATCAGCAGCAATGAAAATTAAACCTTCAGGGAAAGGTGATCCATGGTACATAAGGCTAAAGTCTCAAACAGATGTTGAGAAAGGGCATATAATCCCACCTTAATATAACAGTTAGGCAAATGTAACGGTCATTTGAGATGAAGGTCCCAAAATGGGGTGAGGCGGCTAGAGAGGAGTGGGGACTCAAATAATTTCTGTCTCAAGTATCTTAGGTAGTCGATGAGGCCATCATATAAAGGGTGATTGTGAAAGATGCAAAACTCTTGTCAAAGACCCAGGTAAAAAAAAAAAGAGTTATGGTTGGCACTTCTGATCGAAGTGGGTTCAACTTCCTCTCAATATACCATTATCAATATATGTGCCATTGCTGTTGTTAAATGTCTATCATGGGACTAAGCAAAGACAGACAAATACATGGCAACCCTAGAAATTAAACACTGATGCGGTGTGAAGGACTGCATAACCTCCATGCCTGAAGTTTGAGCTTCAGGATGGCTGGGTGTACGATGTTAGATTGGCTAATGAGGAAGTGGTGGGCACTCCTGAAGGTACTGTAGAAATAAAAATCAGGATTAGCTGCCAATCCAGTGCTATCAACAGGACCCGACAATGGGTTGAAACGAATCATAGCTAGTACCTTTGGTAACATACGAATTGGTGGGAAGGCCTAGAGGTGTAACTCCATCCCATCCTGACAGAATTCTACTAGTGTCAAAGCCCGAGGGTGAGGTACCAGAGACCAAATTGCCAGTAGTTGAGTGTTCCAATGATTGGCCAACACACCAGTCATCAGTGTTTCAAAATGAGAGACAATCCAACAAAAATCCTTGCAATGTAGCATCCGCTCTATCAGGAGAATCTGTTTGGGTTGAGGAAAATTGATCAGCCACTTAGGTCATCACCCATGGAATATGGCAAGCTGGTAGGGTGATAGGATAAGAGTGGTCCCAAGAAAAAGATCCAAGGTTTGAAAACAAAGAGCTCTGAACCAAGTGCCCCCTTGATGGGAAATGTAAGACACAACCATGTAATTGTCAAAGTGAAGCCTGACAATTTTCCCTTTAATAAGCCCAGACCATGAGACATCACCCTTTGAACAGCAAGAAGTTCTAAAACATCTGTGCATAAGCCCTGGAATTACTGACCATTGAGATATGCACCCCATCGCTGAAGTGAGGCATCTGTGAAGAGATGGATCTCTGGATGATGTGGTGGCAGAGGAACACATATCATAGTATTGTTCCAATCTAACCACTGCTCAAGATCAAAGATAATGATCCTGAATAAAGAAACTGGGGAACCTAGTGAATCGCTGTTAATGATGCATTGGTTGCATAAAGACCACTAAAGGGAACTCTTGTGTGCTCGTACCAAAGGAGGATCTAGGAATTCATATAGACAAGAAAGATCGATGACTAGAGGCCAATTTCCTGTCTTCTTGAGCACCAGAAACAGATGAGAATAAAACTCCAGAAGAACTGACATGACTCTCTCCACTGCCCCCCAGACCAACCAAACCCTGATAGCCCTAGAAAGAAGTTCTGAAGTCCGAGTACCTACAGGAAGCAGAAACACTACAGGTTGGATTGATAATGGTGGTGAAGATGTAAAGTGAATGTCTAATCCTGACTCAAGAACTTGTAATGCCCATGGATCCCTGGTTAAGGTTTTCCACA